GGATTTGGGATTGGGATTATGGGATTTGGGTGGGATTTGGGATTGGGATTGGGATTGGGATTTGGGATTGGGATTGGGATGGGATGGGATGGGATTTTAAAAGAAAGGGTATGGGTATCAACTATATATTCATATCAACGTAATTTTCAATTAATTTATCAAGATTTGAAATGATACCAATAAATTTTCCAATTCGATACATATTCGCTTCTAATTCTACCAAATAAGGATAAATTTCCTTATAATTTTCTCTATTTAAACTTTCATGATCTACTGAACAGTGAAAAACTGAAATTTATCAACCAAAAATTGACCAATAGGTTTATTATATTTTAAATTTCTTCCTAATTGCATTAATTCATTCATACGATATGTCTTAACATTACTTTCAAGCGTAACATAATCATCATATGTTATTGGTTTAGCTTTTTTAATTTTAAGTCCAGGTATTCTACCATATAGCATTCCTTTTCTAAAAATTTTCAATTCTGTAAAGGATTCCATGTTCACTTTAAGAGGTATTGTACTTTGGACGCAACAGGTATATATATATGTGTATTTCGTGTAACCTATTTATTTTACACGTTGCATTTAATTCACAGAAATTCTTCCAAAAATAGAAACATAAGTCTCGTACGTAGATTATCTCGAACTTTTCGACATTAAAAACAGGTTACTTTTATATCGAACAAAAAACGAGAATTTTCAACAGCCAATAATTTTACAAGAAATCATCTGGTGTTCCAACATAAATTCGGATCAGGAAAAAAAAATTTTTCTCCTCTTAAAATGCCACAAGATACATCGAAATCGATGAATTTTCCTAATGGACAAGCGGTTATAGCAGGAGATAGAGCTAGGCCCTTAGCAAATTACCCTCATTCTAGAATTGTTGGAGGTTTTGTTTTTGTTTCGGGCATTTCTTCAAGAAATTTTGATAATACGTAAGATATAGTTAAAAAAAAAAAAGGTTTTACTATTTATCTATTTATTAATTTGTATTTTATCATTTCCAGATATGAAGGGGTAATTAAAAAAAAATAATTGTAAATTAAATAATCATTTTATTATTTTAAATCCACCTCACTTTCTTTCGTTTTTTTTTTCGTTTTTTTTTTTTCGTTTTTTTGTTTTTTATTTGAAATTAAAAAGGTAAAAGAGCTTCCGGATGGTGGTTTCCAATTAGACATTAAAGAACAAACAAAAGCAGTTATTCGAAATATTGAATCGATATTAAAATCATCAGGAGCTACATTAAATAATCTAGTTGATTTGACAGTATTCTTGAAAGATATGAATGATTACGATGGGTTTAATGAAGTTTATAACCAATATTTTGATGCAAAAACTGGTCCATGTAGAACTACTGTCGCCGTTTCAGAATTACCTTCCGTGAGCATATTCTTTAACCTTTTTTTCGAAAATTTCATTATTTTAACCAAACATTTAAACTATAATTTTTTTTTTTTCAATGTAGCCAAAATTATTGATTGAAATCAAAGCAATTGCTATAGCACCATAAGTCACAATTATTCGTTTTGTAACGTATTATTAATGAATAAAATCGAATAAATCTTTTGATTTACAATCAAAACGAAACTTTCCAAAAATCAGAAAGGTAAGCAATATACAGACGTTTTTGCCTTTTAAAACAAAAAAAAAAAAAAATAAAGAACTTTAACAAATAACTATTTCCAAACTTTACCAACTTAATTTTTACGATTCAACTAATTTTGCTTCCAACTCATGCACATCACTAATTGGCATACCACAGGTAAAATTCTCACATATATGAACTGAAGGTGCACTTTCACCTGCTTGCAAAATACTTTTAATCACTTCGCACCTTTCATTTAATACCTCCCCATTTTCTTTTGCTTTAAGCAAAAATTTATTTGGCATAAACCTATTTCTAATTATATCAATATACTTTTGAACAATCGTTTCTTGTTCCGATCCAACAACAATTATCTAAATATTGTAATATGGTCAATGAAAACTTGATATATAAAGCAAAGAAATTCCTATTTGTATCAATCTTACCTGTTTAATTCCTTTCAAATATAACATCAAACTCGCAGCCATTGCTGGCATAGCGTAAGGGACTTTCTCCAACCTTTCAACAAAATATTTCAAAGTTTGTTCGGCTTTAGCATTATAATCTGCTTTATCAACAATATGACCAAGTCGAAGCAAATTGCTAACTGAAACCGAATTACTAAATAAAAATTTTATAGTATTAGAGTATGATAAAACTGTCTTGAGGACACTTGGACACTTACGCTGATGGCTCGGCTCCATCATGATCTAAATACAATAATAAAGTTAATATAACAGACATATATATATATTAACATACAATGTAAAGAAAACATGCTCACCGTCTTTCAATCTAACCAAGATGTTTTTGTTGTTTTTTCCTACATTGTAAAAGCCCCCTCCACCTTCTTCATCATAAAACAACGTAATTTGTTGATCTTGTAAATCAATTGCCCATGCAAGATAAGATTCGTTAAAGGTTGACTGATAAAGATCAAGTAAACCTAAAAAAAGTAAAAAAGTGAAAAGTTAATTAAATGACAAGGAATTAAATTAAGCCTATGTAAATAATAACCCTTAATAAAGGTATATTACCTTCAATTAAATTACTGGTAACATTTAAATTTATATGAATTATATGAGTTGACAGTTGATAATTATACGATAATAAAAGATTCCTTACCTATAATCATCCACAAATCCTTCAACTTCACCAGGTCCTTCTCTGAAGCTTCTTAACAATCTATTTTTGCCAGAGTCATATAATTGATCTTTGATAAACCTTGCAGCGCCCTCAGCTAATTCACGATATTTTTCGTCACGTATCGCATCATAAGCCCGTGCAAGAGCAGAAATCAACAATCCTATAAAACATGTTAATAAATCATACTAAAAAAAAAACCAAAAAAGTTTAAAAAAATTAAGTACCATTCCAAGAGGTGAGAATTTTATCATCTCGATGAGGTTTAGGCCTCTTATCAAATCGATATTTCGCAAGTTTTTCTTTGGATTCAGAAAGAATAACTTTTACTTCATCAAGCGATATTTCAAATTTCTCGGCCGTTTCTTTAGGAGTATGACGCTCAATCAAAACGTTCTATTACATTTTAAAATTTTTTTATAAAAAAAAATGCCAAATGCTTCAAAAAAGATTGTTTAAAAAGATTACATACTTTTTTCTTCAGTTCGCCTTGAATATCTTTTCTGGGATCAACATTTCCATTAGGTTCAACTCCAAAATGATACGAAAATATTTCTGAATTCTTATCTCCCAAAATTTCCTTAATTTCTGATGCTTCCCATACAGCGAAGGCACCCTCTTGTTTTATTTTCATGGTAACTACTTTAGATTTGACAATTCGCAGATGATGTTGGAACAAAAAAAAAAAAACTCACCCAATTTATGCTTGGCTCCATCATGAGGATAAGAATCTGCATCTTCAGCTGAATAAAATCCTCCCCCTTCGTGATCCCTCAAATCTCGTTCAACGTATGTTACGATATCACGCACCACCTATGATAATTACCGATAATTAGTAATAATTTTCAATTAAAAGTTTACGCGTTTAACGTGTCATAATTTACCTCAGCATAATACTCATCTTTGGTGAGTAAATATACTTCAACGTAACTCATCAATAATTGAGCTTGATCATAAAGCTATTTATTATATAATTAATGAGATATATTTTATGCATTTAAAGTCAAATGTGATGATGTTTATTGGTGTCCTTACCATCTTCTCGAAATGAGGCACGTGCCAATATTTATCGGTGGAATATCTAATAGGAAAAATTAATTTTGGAACAAGAATTAAGACAATTATAATTAGTGTAATCCGCAATTAAAATACTTACCGATGGAATCCATTTCCGATATGATCTAAACCATTTTAAAGTTCATTTAATAATTGGCCTATGTATTATATTAAATTTGTTATCATATAGATTTGTTCATACCATGAATTCCTCCCATGGCAATTTTCTTTTACAAAGAAAAAAAAGGTTAATAAAATTTTTAAAAAAAAAAAAAAAAAAATTTCACTTTAAAATACCTTCAGAGTAAATGTCACCATATCTAAATCTTTTTTCGCAGCTTGCTTTCGACTATTCACAACAGTTTGTAATTTATTTAAATATTGTGCTTCGTTATCACAGTCTTTAAAATCGATTCCTAATGAATGTCCACGTTTTTTAATTTCTTGAATCGACATTATAGCAAATCTCTCTTCAGCTTTACCAAGTTCTGATAGTATATAATAATGATGACGAAGCAAAAAGTGAAATTGGACTGGAGTTGGGAATTTCGGTTCACCTTTATAATAAGAAAATTTTAAAATAAATTTAATTTGATCTCTGAAAAAAAAAGAAATTAAAATAAAATTTTGACGCGTAATTTACCTTCAAAACCACCTTCATCAGAATCAAATGAACTAATGAAATATTGATGTACATTATGCGCAAGTTCCATGTTCAATTGCAAATTTTGACCCTCAAATTTTTGCTATTAAAATGATAAAAATTTCTTATTACTATGATTATCTATGAAAAAAAAAAAGAAGATAAACCATTAAAATAAATTGTATATTCTCACAAGTGTCAATTCACGTAATTTTTCAATAGTGTCCACTCCAGCTTTTTTTAAAGCTTCTCCTTGTTCTTTCCATCTAATCAAAAATTAATAATTATCTTAATGAAAGTGAATGCTTTTGATATGCGAAAAATTTACTCACAATGAAGCCATGCGTTTAAGCAACGATGGGAATCCAGGTCTGAATTATTTTTTTTTTGAAAAAAAAAACGCGTTAAATTTTTTTTTTTCATTAAATTTCTTAACGTTAACAATTCACCTTCCATGTTGATCCTCCGGAGGAAAGTAAGTGCCACCAAACACGGCTATATAATAAAAATCAAAATCAATTCTCCGAAATTTTTATAAATATTACGCTTCAAACTTAATACATACGATATAGATCGGGCTGATTCGATAGAGATAAAAATCAATATTGAAATTTACTTCATCGTCAAAATGTTAAAATTCAATGATGTATAACAAATATAGGACTCACCGTTAGAAAAACGGACATCGGCCATCCACCACCACCGGTTAACGATTGGACGAAAATCTTCAAATATAATAAAAAATGTTGTTAATTCCGAATATTTTATTTATTTAATTTTATAAAAGAGAAGATACAATACCATATACATGCGATCCACATCAGGCTGAATCTCCCTGATATTAATAATATTAAACATGTGAATTTCACAAAAATCCCATGTAATATAAAATAGTCATACCTGTCGACTTTATAATTATTTTAAATATTAGTTCATAATTTTGTAGATATGCTTAGTAAAAAGCAAAAAGATGGAATGATTTCATACCTTTAACATTCACAAAATTATCGTTCATAATCTTTGCTATAGCCTCATTCTCGAATGATTCATGAGCCTAAAACAAAAATACAAAAACATGATTGAATTACGGATTTATTGTTTTGAGAATAAAAATAATGAAATTTGCATACCATCACATGACACCAACTTGTGTTCAAAATCAAAATTTTATTAATTATAAAATCATCGAATGAATCAAAAGAAAAAAAAATTTTTATATCGAAAAAACATACTGGCAAGTACTATAACCCACGCTCAAAAAAATTAGTTTATTATCCTCTTTGGCCTTCTGAAAGGCTTCTTCGCCCCATGGAAACCAGTCGACTTATCAAAATAAAATTTTTTAAAAAAAATGATAAAGATATTTATTATTATATAAAACAATAAGAATGAAACAATTCTTACCAGGATTATCGGCATGTTGCTATAACATCAAATTCAAAAAAAAAAAAAAAATTAAATAAAGAAAATCATTTTTATTTCACCCCAAAAAAAAAAATTATTTCTTACCAACAAATAAGGACTTTTTTCGTTAGATAACCTGTTTAAATTGTTGGTTGACATATTTCTTGCAGTTGATAATACAGTAGATGTAGTAAGTTTATTGGTGGAAAACCTAAATTGAGATGTTAGACTGGGATTATATAAATGGTATGGAGTATTGCTAAATTTGTTAGTTAAACAGCTACTACTGCGCCGCAAAGAACTTTGCAGGAATCGAGAGAAATTCATTCAACTTTAAACTCATTGAATTTGAACAATTTTGGATGAAATGAAATATTTATTGATTGATTTCAATAAAAAAAAGATCTTGAGCAAAGAATTAGTAAATCGAATGCTTGATGATGCAAAATTTGTGCAAGATGAACCCGATCTTATATATAAATATATATTTATTTACTTTATATTACGCAATAAAAATAATAAGTAACCTTATTTTGGTATAGCGCCATTATAAAATATATATATAGCCTCGATACATCAAATGTGATTTCACCTAATTTCGCAAACCTTAAATCAGGTTCGTTTGTTCTTAACTAAATTATCGTAAGCAAGTTACTTTTAGTTTTGATACTAAATTAGTTAAATTATAGTTCATTTTTACGACGACAAATCTTTTTTTAACCATGGACAAGAATTCTGAAAACAAAACATATACAGCCGAAGATAAAAAGAAGGCTTTAATGTATCTTGAAAAATTTGTGCGTGAAGATGATTCTGCGAAATACGTTATCGATCCAAAAAACGTTCTTTGCAGGACAAAAAATGATGCCGTCAAAGTTAATTGTATAAAATTGAATGAATTGGATGAAAAAGAAATCTTTGCTCATATGCAAAATCTTGGTTTTTATTGTGCTTTATCTCAGGATCCAAATAAATTTGGAATTGAATGTAAAAAAATATAGACGGGATAGCATTATTTTTTTATTTTTTCCTTTGGCGTAGTTGCACGACGCAGTAATCCATATATAGAAAATTTCTAAATTTCTTTTGAATAAAAAATGTGCTACATGCTCATCATAAACGTCATATCGATTTCATAACAACTAGTAGAGATGGTATGGTTTCTTCTAATTTGGCGCAATTATATGCTAAAAATATAAGGGATCAGGCCATTAGCCTTTTTTCTCTTTCGTATTTATTTTCATTTCATTCACAATTCAACTCTATGAAAAGATATAAACAAAATGTCAATTAATAAAGACACTGCAATTTTACATACTGCCTTTTTGAAACTGATTGATAAAATCTTGGAACAGGTTCCGCCAAACAGTAATTTTCAAAATTGGGATGTTTATTCAGGTATAATCTTTGGTGATTTGGTTATTTTTATTCGGATTCTACAAAAAACGTCAATTTTTTTTTATTATTATAGGAACGGCCGGGTTATCGCTCCTTTTCATGAAAGTTCATGAATGTGACCCAGGTTTGCGTAATACGTTACGTTATCGTTATCATTAAATGAAAAATGAATTCTTCGTCACATCCCAAATCTTTTACAGGGGTGATGTTTGGCCCAAAAAGTGCACTGACCATCGCAGATGAGTACATCGATAACGCTCTTTCATCACACATGAAACTTCATAATACACCTAGCGAAGCCGGCTTGCCCGGATTTATTGAACACGAGTGCGGTTTTCTCTCTACCGCTGTCGGATTATACTCCGTAGCGGCTCATGGTTAGCCTTTTCGTTTTGTACCATGTTTTCTGCGCCTTACCTTCCCTGACCCTTTTGCGTTCTTAGTTAAACATCATACCGGAGACCAAGAATCTTCGCATAGATATCTCAACTTGATACAATCGCATTTCTCCAAGGTAACGTCTTTTACTCTTGGATTTTAATTTCGAATGGAATAATTGATCACACTAATGATATCAAACCCTTATTCAGTCGGCACTTTCAATTAAAACACCGAGCGAATTACTACACGGTCGTGCCGGGTATTTGTATGCCGAGCGACTTATATCCGGTTTAATTGACCCGAAAAAGGAACCACCGACGTCGCAAATCGTGTCTAGCGTGATTGAAAGTATCATCGAAGACGGGAAAAGGACGGCAGTAAACCGTAATGCAACAGGTTATACGCCATTATTTTGGACATGGCAAGGTTTACCTTACGTTGGGGCCGCTCATGGTTTCGCTGGAATACTAACCATGTTGTTACAATTCCCGGAGCAATGTCAAGAACACTTTGGTCAAATTAAAAATACTACCGACTTTATCTTGTTCAAAAGTCGTCAAGAAAATGGAAATTGGCCTCATATCCTGTTTGAACCCAATAATAATTTGGTTCAATTCTGTCATGGAGCTACTGGAATTTGTTTTTTGGCTTGTAAAGCATATGAAGTATTTAAAGAAAAGGAGTAAGTATTTTAAATAAAAAAAAAAAAAAAATTTTTTTTTTTTAATCCAATGAGAGAATTCATAAATAATATATTTATTTAGATATTTAGATCTCGCTGAAGAAATCGCAGATTATATATATTTACATGGAAAAACGCGTAAAGGAGTAGGATTATGCCATGGAATTTCCGGAAATGCGTATCCATTTTTATCGGTTTATAAACTTACCGAGGATCACAAATATTTACGATATGCTTTGGAATATGCCAATATCTGTGCTCAATGGGAGGAAAAAGTCGAACAAGGAGAATTTAGTCATTCCGATAAACCTTGGTCCGTTTATGAAGGCATTGGCGGAGCAATTTGGTAAATTGGAATTTATTTTTATAATGATATATTTTAAAAATGATTAATAATTATATTTAAAATTTTCAATTATCGCTATAGGCTCATTTCCGACTTAATATATTGGGATCAGGAAATTTTCAAAGGTTTTCCAGGATTGACAGATGTTTAACTTGTAAAATTGTTATTGATGAAAATTTTAAAGAGAATTGTTAATAGGAATTTTATATAAGACAATTTTTCTTTTTCCAGTATTTATTTGTATGAAAAAAAATAAAATAAATAAATAATCCTTGTTTAATTCGTTTTATCGACATATGTATTCAATAATATCAAAATACACGAGAAAATAATAAAATACAAATTGGAATGGATTTTGTATTAAAATATTCTTTTTCATTACAATGGTTATGTCATTAATAAATGCGCCAAACATAAATGTTAATTGTGTTCAACACTTATAGCGTTTTTAACTTTTTCTTGATTGCTTGGATTAAATCATTGGTTCCTTTAAGATAATAGCTACAAAATAAGTGTTCATGGTGGTGGGTATACAAGTATATCTTGGGTGCATTGCATTGCTTCCGTAATAAAATTGAACAAAGGTCGAAAGTTAGCAACATCATTTATGATTTTCAGCTTTTTTATTATGAAATATTGAAAATCTTTTTTATGTATTGTATTTATCAAAAGCTTCTCTTATGAGTTTTAATATTTCTGTGATACTTGTAATTGATGTGGTGCATCTACTGCAATCGATCAATAATCCGTTTTTTACGTTTATGGAAAATGACGATAGTCGATAATTCCAACTTCTGAACTTGAACAAACCTCCCGTCCTTCTGCGATAAAAAAAAATACTAACGATTTCCATATTCTTACGAATTTCTTCAATTTTATTTTTATTTAAATATGAAGTAGGTGACTTTGTAAAAAGTTATCAATAAAATAAAAAGTCTTAAGCTGTAAAAGAATGTAAACGCTAAATGATGTCAAGACTTTCCTAATTGGACTAATAATAATTGGGAACCATGAAATTTCGAGTTTATTCGCTCAAAGTAACTAGACTGAATATGAAAGGTTTGACAGAGGGAAATGGATGACAAATAAATCATTCGAGATAATTAATTTCACCTCATAAACAATTAAAAACTAAATCAACTCATTCGAATACAATTAATACGGTCGAATTAGATTTGTATATGAGTAATATGTTTTAACTCTTTTTGGAGGATCATGTAACAAAAAATGTATGTCGTATAATCCCGAAGCGATTACCTACTGAAGGGTAAAAATTGTCTCTCCCCAATGGGAACAAAAAGTTTTGCTTCAATCCTTATCTACACAACAAAAAAAAAAAAACATTTCAACATTGTTTTGCGTTATGTGTGAATGAGTCCTTAAGTTGATTCTATGTAAAAACGAAAAAAAAAAAAAGAAAAAAAAAAGAAAGTTCTTCTTGGGCGTTTAATAAAACATGAAACATCATATCCGGTAATACCAGAATTTTTAAGTGTATTATTATTTTAGTTGTGATTACGTATTAAAATGTCAATTTTAGGAAAAAAAAAAATTTAACTACGAAACGGTAATTTGTTTCACATTACCTTTTCATATGTAAATTAATAAATACAGTATACTTGTGATCAAAAAATAATCTTAAAAAGATTCAAATATTCGACGATTTAATTTCGCGTTCGCTTTTTTATATTATATATTTTGTTTAATGTAAGTCCGGCTGACAAGAATAAAACATTTGCATGAACGAACACACCAATAAAATTTTAAACGTGGAAAAGATTAAAAGTAACACCGCAGAAACTACAGAAAATACTCGGCGATGATCACCCAATCACGTTTTTCGACTCTTCGGTTGTAAAAAAAAATTAGTACATAAACCGGAGGATTTCACCTAAGATGAGCTTAATCATCCATCGTCCCTCTCTTTCCTCTCCCTTCCGTATCTTCACATTTAATTTCCCAAACAATAAAAGATTAAGCTTCTTTGCATTCATTCTTTAGCATAGAACTTACTTCTTCCCTTCGTTTTCCTTTCCCTTTTCTAGAATAACTTTTTTATCATTCATTTACCATTAAAAAATTATAAAATAAAAAAATGAAGATTTTGTATAAAGCTTTATTTGCCATTAGTTGCATCGTAGCTACAGGTCTAGCCGATCCTCAAGCAAAAGAAGCAAACGGTAAAGGAGGAGGTAAACCTACAGAGAGGTTAACCTGTAAAATTGTTGAACCTGCTCCAAATACAGTATGGACAATGGGTCAACCTCAGACCGCTTCTTGGTCATGTAATGTTAAGGGTCCCATTGAATCACAACCACCTGAACAATTGATTCACATAGAATTGGGTACTGGTACCAGTCGCGAAGACTTTTTGTAAGTATTACGCGTTTTACAAAATTAATTTTGTAAAAAAAAAAATATACACATATGAACACTAATTAATAATTTATTTAGATACGTTGATACTATCGACGCTATTGCTAAAGCTCGTGAGGTCAAATTTACTTGGAATTTACTTGAAACATATCCGGAAGGAACAAATTATATTGTAAGACTAAGATCAAAATTGAAGGGAGATCCTGAACCTGTCACCGTTGAAGAAGCAAATTTATTACCTTGGGTTTATTCTGGCCCAATTACCATTATTAAAAAAGGAACTGATCCCAAATCACTTCCAAAAGCTGTAACAAAGACTCCAACAAATGCCGTTCCAGAAACTAATGCAAAATACCCTGATGCCAAGGTTCCAAACGCTCCAAAAACTAAAGAAGCTGATGGACCAAAAGGCAAAGACGAAGCTGTAAGTTTTTCTTTTAACAAAAAAAAGTATTTTTGATTTTCTTTTTTTTTTATGAAACCAATTAACATTATTTTATTTTTATAAAGAAAACAAAAGCTGTTGAAGGCACCACCGCTAAACCTGATTCAAACGCAAGCGCAACACCCGATGCCAATTCTGCTGCTTCAACTGAGCTTGGAAATATATTATTATTGGGATTGGGCATGGTCTCATCTTATTTGGCTTTGTAAATTACTTTGACCTTGGTGTTTCTTTTAATTTATTCTTTTAAACAAAAATTTTGTACCAATTATTTTAAAAGAAATTTATTATTTAACAAAAATAAAAAAAAATATATATATATTGCATACGGCGCAGTAACCTTTGCCACCAATTTCTAGTAATTTCCATAGTTCCCGTTTTACAATGTGGGATTAACTTGTTTATGGTAAAAAACTTATTTTGGATTTTTTTATATAAATAAGTCGGACTCTCATTTTTCTCACCGCAAAAACACTCGTAAAAATGTTGTTATTTGATGAATTTTTCGATGAATTACCACGCGCTTTACCGTTTTTAATACGCCCCAATAATGCTTTTAATTCAATTCCGTTAAACGTTTCAAGTACTTCAACACACTATATAATTCGAACGGAATTACCCGGTATTCCGCTAGATAAAATATCGGTTGAAATTACTGATGATGGAGTACTTTCCATTCAGGCCGAACGTCCTTTAATCGATGAAAAAGATAAAGATAAAAAAAATGAAGGAAGGGAGAACACGATAATAAGAGAAAGTTGGGACGTTCGAGGAAAATTACATCGTAGTTTGAAATTTCAAAATGATAGTATTGATACTGAAGGCATTAAAGCCGAATTAAATAATGGCGAGTTAATTGTTAAAGTACCCAAGAAATCTCCAGATGAAGGAAAAGAAAAGAAAAAGAATGTAAAAATCATTAAAGGAAAATTGTAATATTTTCTTTTTTTTGTAAGAGGGTTGGTTCTCTATTGGTTCATTTCTTAGTTATGTTTAAAAATTGTTTGCTTTAAATTGTAAGAAAGCACCTAGTATTAGTATATTTTAAAGCAAGATTGTTTAATGCTAACTGAATAAAAACTTTTTAGAGTAGTAAAACATCTACATATTGATGATTACGCATAAAAAAAATTCGAAATCTCGATATTTTTTACATCTTTACATTAGGTGTCCCGTTAATTCGAAATTTGTTGTTTATGTCAAATGCTCTGTCCCGTTTAACAACTAAAATTTCAATTAAAAAGTTCAATATAAATAATTTTTAAAACTTTTTTTATTTATTCCATTCCGTCAAAGGCATCCATGGTTTTCGTAATCATAATTATCATATCAAGTAAAGAATTAACTGAAACTCGAAGTAATTTTACACTCGCACAATCAAATGTACTAATAAATTAAATTTTTAAAATTATTAAAAACATTGGAACAGAAAAATAAATAAATTTTGAAATTTTGGAATTTTTTTTTTTTTTACATACACGATTAATTTATCATCATCGGTTGAAATAATTCGTTTAACCTGATCGCTTTTAAGTTCCTTATCAACATTTAGAGTACGTTCTGCTACACTTGCAAGTCTTGAAGAAGGAAAAGGTATTGTTAAAGTTCTATTATTGAATTAAAGCAGGTTTAGTTTTAAAAGAGATAAATGAAATTATGTAAGTAAAATATTTCTTGCGGTATGATCAAAGAAGATAAATAAAAATTATTAGATGTACGAACAGTGAATGTCCAAGTGAAGTTGACATGACTGGAAATTTTTTCGGTTTGAGAAAACAAAAAAGGAGTTAAATCAGAAATGTAATAAGCCAATCAGAATATAGAAGCGTGTCAGTGCACAAGTGCATTGTAACACACGATGATTATCTATAAAAAAAGTCGAGACTTTTTTTATAGGACACTTTTTTTCGCTTTTTCTCCTTTTTCTCTTTACTCTCTTCATTACTTTAAAAATATGAAATCATCGGAGCACTTTATCTCTCATAACGAAGCTAAATTATCGTCCATAACTTCGCCAGTGACGGGAATATCAAATTTATCATTAAATTCACCTGTTGATGGATCATATATAATTGATGATTTTATTACGAAACAAGAAGAAATTGAACTTATTAATTCTATTGATTTGCATGAATGGTCTGGGAATGGAATGCCGTGAGTATATATATAGATATATGTATTTACATCTTTTGTTTATTGTTTTTTTTATAACGATGATGTTATCACCGGGGATAGAAATTGAAATTTGAAAAAAATTTTTTTTTTTTACTCCTAATTCAAGCCCCTTAACTCGTCAAAAGCTAATTCTTTTCATGTAATGATGTAATGAATTTTTTCCATTTTAGACCAAATCCAGAAATGAGGCGGAGAACACAACAATATGGATATGAATTCAGTTATAGATATAGGTACTCGATCCCGCTTTTTTTTTTTTTACAAAAATAAATTTAAATAATAAATCTTGAACCATCTAGGAAAGTAGTTCAGAATTTGGGCGCATTACCAACATTTTTGGATTTTATAATCGCAAGGTTCGTTGAACAGAAAATCATTCAACTCTCCGAAATGGAATATCCTAATATGTGTATAGTAAATGAATATCAAGTTGGTCAAGGTGATTAAAATTAATCTTTTTTCTTTTTTCCATTAAAAAAAAAAAGGTTCTCACCTAATATCTTTCCCAAATAGGAATTATGCCACATGTGGATTCAACGGAATTTTTTGGTCCTATTATATTAAGTCTCTCATTGCTCTCGCCATGTTTAATGACATTTACACATACACAAGACTCCTCCAATCAATCAATCGTATTATTAAGCAAGTACTCATTACAATTCATTTCAATCCTTGGCATTTTTATTAATACCTTCGCCTTTTTTTTAATACAGGACCGAGATCTTTATTGATCATGACAAAATCAAGTAGATTTGACTATAAACATTCCATATCCAAGGATGCCATAGAATATTATAATGACGATGAGATTATAAGAGATCGTAGAGTAAGTTTAACTTTTAGGACCATCGTGACATCTAAAGAGGAAAAGGAAGAAAAAGAAAAAGGCGTGGGAACTGATTGCTACACAAGGTGCTAATATAATTTTTGAACAACAATTCAATCACCTGACCGCGAGAATTAATAATAAAAAAAAAATCTTGTATATTGTGTAAAATAAAATGTATATGATTTATCGTACTTTACACCAATTTAATTCTATAGTATAAAGTTTTTTACTAAAAACCAAAAATATTTTCTAAAGCTTCATTAAGCGCAAATTCATTCATCAAAAAATAACTAGAAGAGATTTTTCGCTAATTGTATTGCGACTCCATGAGCTTAAATGACATTTGTGAATGATTTCAAATAAAATAGGATTGCGTTCGGATGGTGATTCATTTGGAACAATTACGTAAAATTATGGGATAAAGCTGCGGTTAATCAAGATGTATAAGTTATACAACAGGGATGTTTCATTCGCAAATCAGTTACGCTAAATATTCTCACGAATAATCCTTTAATTGGTAATAAACGGGAAATCCCGCATTTTCCTTAAATTAAATCTTGATCGATTTTCCGAAAATAAAAAAACGCTTTACCGAATTAAGCTTCATAAATAAATGTAATAAATACCTGCTCAAATTCTCGAATAATTAAAATATTTTTCGATCTTTCTTTTTTTTTTTTCATTTAAATAACATTTTGTCATTACCATTATGACTATTCAATCACCGAATGAACAGATTGGTCTTTGGCCGATCACAAGTTCAGTAGACTGGTGTGAAAAGAATTTTGAACACTCTTATTACATTGCGGAGTGAGTGGTGATTTTATTTTTATCTTTTTGGATTTTTAAATTATAATTTTTTTTTAAAAATATATATATATATATAAATATATACTTTTTCTTTTTTAAATAGGTTTTGGAATTCATTATCAAGTGTGGCAATGATAATGTTTGGTGAAGTTGGAGCAAGGGTTAATTCATGTGAATCATTTCGATTTCGATTAGCGTTTCGTTTAGTGTCCGTTGTTGGTATAGGGAGCTTACTGTTTCACGGTACCCTTACAAGTCAAATGCAAGCTCTTGATGAGGTATTTCCATTTTCTCTGCCGTTGTAAGTTTATTAGATTAATATCTTTTAATCACGTAATTTTTTTTTTAAAGGTCCCAATGGTTTGGTCAGCATTAACAATTCTTCACTCACTAATAGAATCGAATTATGGTAAAAAAGGATTATGGTTGCCAATCTTGTTGATCTTACATGCGATCCTTTGTACCGCATCAATAACGATATCAACTGGTGCATTACAAGTTACGTTCTTTCTCACATCATTTTGTAGCATAGAGCTTGTTAGCATGTTATTAATTTATCGTATCTATTCAAGCAAGAAAGTATCTCACCCTTCAATTAAATTATTATTTGAAAGGGGTGTAATGATTTACGTTCTAGCTAGCACGACCTGGTTGATAGATTTATATTTGTGCGATTATGTGAATGGTGAAGAAAAGAGTATACTCCCATTTAACCCTCAATTACACGCAATGTGGCATATTTTAGCAAGTTCTGGTTTATATTTACTGGTGGTGTTAACCTTATATAATTGGCTTTACGAGAATGGGAAAATGTGTAAAGTTGAATGGTGGTTCGGAGGTTTGGTTCCCGTTTGTACGGTATTGGATGTTGGAAATACCCGTTCTTTTCATCGGGAAAGAAAAGTATGAACATCATCATAATCATGATAATAATAAGTTAAATCATAGAAAATGGTCCATTAGACAATTTAATGTCACTTACCTTCAGACATTTTTTTAATAATTTAATAAAATTTATCATTACCATTTAAGGAACGTATTTTAAAATTAATTTTTTTTTTTTTTTTTTTGCGATTAAATCGTGTACGTTCGCGTGGTAATTAAACTAATCTGATAAAATTTAAATCATCAATAACGATCCGAGAATTGATCAAGGCAAATTTTCGATCAACATCTGGGCCTGTAAGCGCGTGGTACCCAAATCTGTCTTCAGGCGGCGGATGATGATATTTCATGATGTAAATTTATATTTATTGTGGGATAAATTCCTTTTAGTATTACCAAAGAGCAGAAGTTCAACACGAAGAATCACCGGTTAATCGTAGCATACCGTCCAAAAGACTACGGAACGAATCCAAATATCCAAAAGAACGAGCAGGAGGAGAGAAGGACGAAGAGGGAACTCAAATGGGAAAATAATTAAGTGGAGGTCCCAGATAAAAAAGAACTTCCGTGTATGTTGAACACAACATATTCATAAAAAGTAATTTAAATCAAAAATATTGATATCACATGATTTACCATTCACAATAAAAATTCAACTATAAACAAAAATGCATCTTTTTTTATCAATAACAATAACAATAACAATGTAATGGGGTTACAATAAAACGAAATTTTTCTCACTTCCTTTTTTTTTTTTTTTTAAAAAAAAAAAAAAAAAAAAAAAAACATTAAAATCAATCAACCTTTATAAACCTTAATATTAATTCAAAATGCAGCGGGCATTAATCACACTTTTAATTTTATTAATCAATTATTTTGGTATTAAGAATACTATATATTTTTCAAAAATACCACCCCCAATAAACGCATCAACTTACTTTTTATTCTGTTTCATTCTTCCTTTAATTATTTTTTCCTCCTTTTCATTTTCATCTCCTAGATCAACCTTTCATAAATTAATATTGATCTTATCAATGTTATCATTGTTTATATTTCCCTTAAAATTTTCAAATATTTATCCTCCCTCTATTCATGTTCCAATCGCATTATTCTCATTTAATTATAGTAGTAAAATGTTCATTTGGTTAAAATCCTCCTTAAAACGGAAAGATAATGCTACGGTAAAACCTTTTATATGGTCATTATTTCATTGGAGGTTAAAAGAAGGTCAAATTCCGATCGCAAAACAACAAGATCTCTTAGAGCAAGGAATTTCTCAAGATGAACTTAATTTATACATCAATTATCACTATAAAAAATGTTTTTTCTATTTGATAATTTATATTTCCTGCGCTCAATTTTTACAATCATTTGCACCTGATGTTTCGGATATCCCTTATCCCATTAGAGTTATAAAATTCGTTTATGATGGGACTCCATTTATCTCTTTATTTGAATTATTCTATTGTTATATTTATGCTAGTGTGATATGTTTTTCAATGATTTATATTTATGAGGTAACTCTTATTGTATCATCATATTTATTATCTTACATCTATTCAACACCAAATTCTTTATTATGTACAAAGTTAACCAAAGATCAATTAGATTCTTTCAAGTTATGGTTAATTTCTCTTCTTTTTTATTCAAAACCCATCTATAATCAACCTTATTTATCTAAAAACCCAAATGATTTTTGGAATAATAGGTGGCATCAATGCTTAAAAGTATTATTTGTTGAATTAGGTTACAAACCTATTCTTTCCTTTTCCCCTTTCAAATTACAGAAATTTTTTGGTATCTTGGCTGCATTTACCGTTAGTGGTATCTTACATGAATATCTTTTATATTCTTCAAATAGATATTTAACCTTAGAACAATTCACTTTCTTTTGGTTTCAAGCGATAGTTTTGATAATTTGGGACTTTACTATGAATTCAAAGGAAGAAAAAACTAAAGAAGATCAAGAACATGTTTTGAAGAAAATTAGAAATATTCTATTTATGAACATCTTTGCTATTTTCACCATTCCCTGGTTTATGGAACCTTACATAAGATGCGAACATTATAATACAGTAATGCATTTTGTCAAAAAAAATTAAATTAAAGAAAATAACTTTTTGATGATTGTAAATTTGATTAGATCATTCTATTATTAACATCGGTCAATTTGTTCTAATCCAGTGTCTTTTCCATCGATTTCATGTTTTCTTCCTCCTTAATTGACTCAGAAAGCTTACTATCGTGAATTTCTGTTGATCGTACTTCTCCATTCTCTTTCTCTTCCAGGGTCATATTTTTTTTTGATGATATGATTGTTGGTGCCGGTAGTCCAATTCCATTTGCAATATCCAACATTTGTCTCAATCCTTGATTCTCAATGACCAAACTCTCTAATAAAATATCAGTCTCCAAATCCGAATTTGTATTATGCGCTTCCCTCACTAAATTGCCTATATTTGAAAGGTGTGTTTGTAATGATGCATTCTCTGATAATACCTGTGCTGTTGTTGACTTTTAAGAAGAATAATTAAAATTTAATTTAAATTCTTGATTAATAATTGGAAATTCCTTTTCTAATTACCCGTTGTTCTTCTAATAATATCTCATAATTTCGTTGCATATCCAATTTACTTTGTTGTATTTCATACTTTATAAACATGAATTCATTAGATTTATTTCCTTAAAAAAAGAAAAAAAAAACCCAATATTCATTTAACTTATATTTACGGCTTGATATCTGAATCTCATCATGATCGTTTTTAATGATTGTTCATAATCTTTAACCATCGCTGTTAATTCCGCATTTTCTTCGTTCAATATATGATTTTCATAAATCAATTGCGCATTCTGTCGTTCAATATCTGTTCCGGTGTCAAATGGTGGACCTAAAATAAAATAATTTAATTTAAGTAAAAATATGCTAAACAAAAAAAAAAAAGGTTGTCGTACCTCGATAACTTGGTTTGAATAAAGAACCGTTATATTCTTCTACTTTATCCTACACAATAATTGATTTAAAGTAAACCACTTGCCAAAAAGTTATGATTGATAAAAGTACCTTTAGTTCATTGGATTGTTTTTTTAATTGTCTAGTTTGTTCTCTGTTATATGCAAGTTGGTTACAAAGTTCATGAAAAATTCTCCTTATTCTAGGATCTTCCTCACTACCTGATGTCAAGTCTGGTGTCATTTTATAATATTTGTTAAGAAAATAAAATATCAAGAGTATAAAACAAGTTAATATAACGAGAGAATTAAAGGAGCAAAGAGAAGCGATGATTACTGCTCTCATGGTTACACCGTGGAGAACACGTGAGATATTTTAGGAAATTTCCTTTTTTCTTTTTTCATTAAGATAGGCTTTATATATATGCATGTGTGACATTCTCAATAAAACTAACTATATTTAATATAAATAACCTTCGCATATCATACTAAAATGGTTTTTGATATATTTGGCGAGTTCTTGACAGATTTCTCAAAAGTTTTTGGCGCACATTGTCTGTTACAAGGAGTAATCGACCATGGAATTTCCATTGAAATGACTTAATCATTGGGTCATTTCCAATTATAAATACTGTACTTGTTCGTTTCTCAGTCCATTATTCTTCACATTATTTTTTTTTTAAAAAAAAAAAAATAAAAATAAAATAAAAATCCTTTTTGACTTGTCAACCTTTTTTTTCGTTGAATATGGATACACGTCCTTTACCTCCAGGATGGGTTTCACAAGTAAATTGTCATTTTCATTTACACTTTTCTTTGAATTCCTAGATTACTAATAATAAAATTTTTGTTTATTATTATATATTTACAGTGGGATGCAAGCGCTGGAAGATACTTTTATGTTGGTAAGTTGTATAAATTTTGTAATTACATCATAAGAACAACCAATATTTTAATTAAGAAATAGCAGGTAGAATAAGTTGAATAATTTTATGATTTCATAATTTTTTTTTTAGATACAACAAAAAATCCTCCAGTTAGTACTTGGGAAGACCCAAGGGAAGCTTATAACCCTTCAAGAAATCTTGATGCACCACCTCCATACTCTCAACTCCATGATTCCACCAGTAAAAAGCCATCAATGCCTACAGCCATGCCATCTCCAGCTCCATACCCGCCCGCTTCTTATAACGACAGTTATTCGGCATCCTCTCCATTTCCTTCAGATTCAAAATATCCTCAGGGAGAATATCCTGCACAAGGGGTTTATTCACCTAATGGGACATTTCAGCCTCAGCCAAATTCATATAATCCATATAATCAATACGGTGATGCTTCAACGTCCTCAACATCAGCAGCTGCTGCCAAACCAAAGAAATCTAATAAATTTTTGAATAAATTGGGATTGGGCGGTATTAGCAGCAATAAACCTCATAAACCTCCCAAGCCTTTCACCCCGGTTGCGGCTTTAGGAACCGCTGCTACTCTCGGAGCCTTATCTTCTTCCAAACCTGGAAAAAAAAAATTAGGGTTAGGAACTGGTTTAGGATTGGGTTTAGGTGGCGCTGTAAGTTATTTTATTATAAAATTAAATTTCTTTTCTCTTTAAAAGCTAAAATAAGTAAGTAATTTTAACGTAAATTATATATATATATATATTTCTTTTTTTTTTAGGCTGCTGGTATGTTTGTCGGTAATGCCTTGTTTAAAGGATTCGGTGGTTTTAAAGGTGGCTTTGGTGATTGTGGTGGTGATTGGGGTGGTTGTGACTTTTAATATTCCTACTTGTAATTATTTATTTATTTGATAAAATTTAGTACCTTTATTTTTTAATTGGGTAGATATTACATAAAAAAAAATAATCATCATTTCTTTTTTTGTATTATATATAAATCATATCATATTGGTTAATACATTTATAGCAAAATAAAGTTTATAAAAAATTTCATTTATTCATTAATTAAAAAATTGATTTAAAGTTGATTACAACAAAATATTTTCCAATTCATTTACAGCATTTTCAATATCCACTATCAAATTTTCTTCATTATGTAATTCTATATCTATATCTCTGTTGTTCTTGCTGCCCATTTTCTTCGCGGTGTCGTCAAATAGTAAATCACCTACTAAATCATCCAATTCTTCGATCAATGATTCATCTTTGTACTTTAGTTGTTTAGACCTTTTCGATGTTGATTTTAATTTAGGTTTTGTTTTTGTGTATGGAGATGATCTGGAGAGCTTATTTAAATGTTGATGTTTTGTATAATGATTTTTCGAAGATTGATTTCGTGAAATTCGATTGTGTTGTGGGGGAGTGCTTTGTTGCATTTTCGAAAGTGATAAGATTTGTTTTTGCAAGTTCACTTTATATATAGATTGTAGATATTTTTAACGGAAAAACCTTAATTTATAGCCAAAAAAGATTTTTCAAAATATCAAAAAACAAAAAAAAAAAGGAATTGGCGCGCATAGGTTTAACAAGTCATGTGAGGAGCGTGAATTTGATTGGTTAAATTTTTAAATATGTTACATTATACCTAAACTATTTTAACATATTTGGAAAGATTGCTAGGAAAATGATGTTATTAGATTAAAAAGTAAAGGTCTTAATTTTAGTTCAGAGCCGTTCGTGATTAAACTATTTTAATAAATATCTACTAAATTTCAATCAGATTTGAGAAAATGGTATTTTAAAACGTTTTAAAAAAGTTTTTATATCTTTATTATAAGCATTTCTTTTATTTAATAGAATTTTTTTTTTATCTAAAAAATTATATATTATTATAAATATATTTATAATTTTTTATAAATATCAAAGTAGTTTTAAAAAATAATTAATATTAATAATTTTTTAAAACTATTAAATTTTAAATAAAATATTAAAATTAAATTATATTAATTATATGGGAAGAAAAGAAAAATCCACTTTTTAGTAAAAAATTTTTTTATTGGTTCACTCTGCTAATCATAAACTCAAAATTTGTAGATTTTTCCCTTTAATTGTTTTACCTACAAATTTGCAGGTAATTTTATTTATTAATTAAATCATTTTTAATTATTTTTATATTTTATAATAAAATTTATGCTATTTTCTAAGTAAAAATTAAAAAAAAAAACATAATTAACTAGATATAGACAGAAATGAGGGTTCTGGGACAGATTTCTCCGAATAGGTATAAAATAGTGTGTGGCATTCCCGGCCACTTTCCCGATATACGAAAATTATGAAATCTTTATTGAATCCTAAATTAATCTACAAGACCAGGAAACATATCGAAATCTAATATAGAATTCAAGCTTAAAATCGTGCTGGGTTCAAATCTTGTTAACATATCTCCCTTACCCATATTTTTAGTTTTCAAGTTAAAGGAGATTACCATCTTTGTTTACGCGCTGGCCTTTTTTTAATCCCAAATAATATAACGAAAAAAGTATGCCATATTGCTTGCCTCTTAGGAGAACCACGAACACTGAGGACTGAAGTGTCCGAGCGTGTTCGCGGTTCGACCTGTCAAGCCTAATTTACATACCTTATTTTTATGTTATCCTAGAATTAATTCTAGAGCTGATTCATTAATGTAA